TATGAATTTTTTTTTTTTTTGTTAAATTCGCTTGAAACCCGCTCTCTTCTAATCATAAACACGTATGAACACGATCCATTATAGGTGTTTGGAAATATAACAACGATTTTCATGCAAGTCACAGCTATCAATTATATTGATCTTGTGTTCATAATACCTAATCTCAGAAATATAGACTGATACTGAATGGCCGAAATGTTGTAATAAATATGGCGACAAAGATGTGGTCAATAGTCCGAATAATGTAAATAATGTACATAATATCTCATCTCAGAAATATAGACAGATACTGAACGGTCGAAACGTTGTAATAAATATTGCGACAAAGATGAGGACAATAGTCCGAATAATGTAAATAGTGTATATAATACCTCATCTCAGAAATATAGACAGATACTGAACGGTCGAAACGTTGTGATAAATATGGCGACAAAGATGAGGACAATAGTCCGAATAATGTAAATAGTGTACCTCATCTCAGAAATATAGCCATCGAAATGTTAAATTGAGACAAAATGTAGACAATATTGTGAATAATTTATTGTACCTTGTCAGAAATAATTATGTTTCTTGATATTAAGATGAAATTCATCAAGGAAATCGCTATTTCATGATATTCCCAACTATCAATTAAACTATGTTTTTGTCTTAGCAATTCTCCAAGCACTTACAAGCTTTTCTAAGATCATCTTTAGTGGTAAATTACAAAAACAATTTAACTGCGATAAAATTAATGTAATTGATAGCTGTGAAGTTTGTTTTTGTAAATTCGCCGGAAACGCGCTCTGTTCAAATTATAAACATGTATGAACACAAGATCCATTATACGTGATTGTAATTATAACAGAATGATTTTCATGCAAGTCACCGATTGAGCCACAGAGGAGCGTTCGGTTAGCAAGGTCGATTTTAGTGTTTTAAAACCACAATTCTCCACGCTTTTCTCTCATACATTCATATCTGCTCGATGCGTATCCAAATGTAAAGAAAAAAGAACGTATATACATAAAAAAAAATGTCTTAATTGTCGGATTCTGACCATTTCATAATGTGTGACGTCATTTGTTTACATTTGGATACGCATCGAGCAGATATAAATGTACGAGAGAAAATCATGGAGAATTCATAGAGAACCTTCAGTGATGCATTATGAGCAGACCTATTGTATTGTTCTAACGGTCTTTTGGGTGGGTGGTAATGTATATGCTTCCAGTTATTTTAGGGGCTATTGAGTGTAAATGATTGTGTATCCGAGTGGATATATATTTAGGCAGGATATTTTCATTCAAACATGTTTCATTGAATAATATAAACATATTGTGGCTACTTATTCCAGTTGTCTAATCAGTTTCTTGATATTATGAAATATTGTAATTCATCAAGGAATCGCTATTTCATGATATTCCCAACTATCAATTAAACTATGTTTTTGTCTTAGCAATTCACTAAGAACTTACAACCTTTTTTAAGATCATCTCCATGGGTAAATTACAAAGACAATCTAACTGCGATAAAATTAATGTAATTGATAGCTGTGAAGTTTGCTTTTGTAAATTCGCTTGAAACACACTCTGTTCTAATTATAAACACAAACAACTACGGGGCCTTCTTTAATAAATTTAATATCAATATTAAAAAAGTTTCTGAGAGATTTTGAGAGGATTAAAAGAAAATAAATAAATATCCAGATTATTCAACCAGAAATACCTGAATGAAGATATGTTGCCTAAATATACATATTATATAGTATTGATTTATTAACATAAATAGTTTCCCTGTGATCAATATAACCATTCTTATCGAGAATTACGAAAATCTGAATCGGCTTTCGATAAAAATTGAATATTATTGCATCTAATTCATCTCTCTAGTTTAATAATGAGCACTTTATTAACGGAAATCGTGTTAAATTTAATATACAGTGAATTATATAGTTTTAAGTATATTAGTTGTTAATATTAATAGGTAGCATTATGTCATTATATATATGATGGGCATTCTCGTCGATTTCGAATTATGACAATTCGACAATCTCATTAAGAATTTATGTCGATCTCATTCAGTTATGTTTGTGCCATATGTGACTTGCATACAAGTTCACATATTGTGCAACAGTGAGGAATATTTGCTGACGTCTTTCGCCCTTGTCCCTCGTCACTTAGCCGTCAATACATCTGTTTCAAAATTTCTGATACCACTCTGCCACAAGTTATTTCTATCCTGGGAAACTCAGTCGAAGTTAGTATGAGGCACATTGACAGTTGAGAGGTTAATCTTTAGCTGGACCCAGGTCGTCGAACAATGCTTTGTCCACTGCCAATCTGGCAATACATGAAGACCTTAGATATTCTGTCGTTAGTCATCCTTGCCACATGACCAGCCCAGCTCAGCTCAGCGAAGTTGTGACTGCATGAGGAAAGTCTCAATTCCCCCAATATTGAATTTTACGAGATCACGACACCCTATCGTCAAAAGAATGTTCCGTTGAAAGGCACTGTATTGATTTGCTGATGGTTATTTCGGGAGAGATTCAATTCCGGGCCTATATATATATATATATATATATATATATATATGTGTGTGTGTGTGTGTGTGTGTGTGTGTGTGCGTGTGCGTAAAAGAAAGAACAGTAAGATATATAATCCGGTCTTCTTATTGATATTTTTATTTTTACAAAACAGTGCTCAGTGTAAATTCTCAGAGCATAAATATTATGAATTAACTGATTTAAAATAATGTTTTTTCGCTACACAGTAATAACCATGTTTCAAAAACTGAAGCTAAAAAATTCAAATTGAATTATATAATTAAATTAAAAGCATTAGTTCCGTTTCATCTTGAAGCGAATTTTGGAATAACTTATTTTGAAATTTACTGAGTTTTAAACGCACATATAAATTCATAATTTCCTGTTTCCAAGGATACAGAGAAATCCAATTATTCAGAGAGAGGCAGTAGCGTGTTCATTTTTATTAACTATTGTTGTATCAATTATGAGATATGTTCGAAAAAGAGATTCAGTTTAGAGAGGGTAGGGGTGTATTTTCCAACGAATTCTGTCATCCGTTAAACGCATGTCGTCTGGCTTTTTTTTTTCAAAATTCGCTTGAAAATGAAACGGAACTAATGCTTTTAATTTAATTATATAATTAAATTTGAAGTTTTTAGCTTCAGTATTTGAAACATGGTTATTACTGTGTAACGAAAAAACATATTTTAAATCAGTTAATTTTTATAATATATATATATATATATATATATATATATATATATATATATATATGTTATTTTAAAATAATGCTTTTCTAGTTCTCTAATTATCTTCTTGATATTAATTCGTCAAGGAAGATTCACTCTGCTTTTATTATTTGAAAATTTAATCCTTGAGGCTACGATGTTTTGTAAACAAGCGTTCCTAACCAAAGGGGGATAACCGTTGATGGCACAATTCCAACTGATAAATGTCAAAATGCTGTTAAATGTTAGTCAACTCAACTTCAAATAGATTTTACAACATTTTTTACTTATATTCTCATAATAAATTATGTTCAGTGTTCGTTGCTTTTGATATAGATGACCTTGAGAATTTGAAGGTTTGATTTATTTTGTTCATTATGCAGCAAATTCGTCTTGTTAACAAGTATTTTCCTGTATTATGAAGGTAGACAAGAACTTGTCTTGAAATGTTAGGGGATAGAAATTGTATTCAACAAGTGAAGTGTAAGCCGTAATGGTAATCTTGCTATCGTCAAGCCAACATATGTATATACTTTTGTCATACAACCTCCCAGAAGCACATTTAAACTGATATGAAATGTTGATCTTTTCCAAAACAGTATGTGTCGTAGAAGAGTTACTGCGTATGATTAAGTTGGTTGTGTTAAATTTCGTATAGTATAATTAGTTTAATTTTAGCGAATGTTCTTGTTTTGATGCTTGGTTATTAAGATTAATCATCTGATAATAGCCACGTTACCGTCCGCAGCAATTCAAAATGACACAATCAATATATGAAATGTTATCAAAGTGAGAAAGTGACTTCATAGATATCAACAATAGGCTGGAATTTTTTATTTTACTTATAACATTGGTATTGATCAAGTTAGGGTCTTATATACACATATGTACTCACACACACACACACACACACAAACACACACACACACACACACACACATATATATATATATATATATATATATATATATATAGTCTGTTTCATGCTAGCCGCAATTGTCAGGCAGCTTGACGATTGCGTCTAGCACGAAATAGCCTGTCGCCTCTGCGTTTTGCCTTCAATGGTCACTTATATATATATATATATATATTCTCTCTATCTCTGATATGGAGCACTTTATCCCGTAAATATAGCACACCTTAAAGCATAATTTCTTCCTCTCTCTCTTTCTCTCTCTCTCTCTCTCTCTAAATATATATATATATATATATATATATATATATATATATAAACACACACACAGACACATATATATATATATATATATATATATATATATATATATATATATGCACACATACACAGACACGTGCATATATATATATATATATATATATATATATATATATATATATATATATACATAAAAGGTAACAAATCCATTGGTATAAAATCCAAGTGGATACTAGTTTATTAAAACTGATCCACAAAAACAACTCAATGTATTTAATATTACAGAACATATAATTAATAAACAATAAAATCACCTCATATGAGGAATAGAAGACAAAAATATCGGTCGTCTGTCTTATCAACCCCGGTGTGGACTGAGTTCGTGTCATAAATAGAAATTTAAATAAATAAACAGTCGAAAAATGAATACAGAATTTATTCATTTCAATGTCTCAGTCAGACGAAAGGCACGAGTCAAGGGTCAGTGGAGGGTGGAAGGTATTTGTCTTAAAGGGAAGGAGTTTTATAAAATTAAGCCCGAATATTAATTTTATGACATTAATTTGGGGGTTATGTGAATAATGAAATATTAATATAAAACTAAAAGAGGAATAAAATGACGTTTAAAAATAACTTTAAGATATATAGATAAAAGGACGTAAGAGATTATTGGAAAGAGAGTAGGGGAAAGTTTATAAATTATAATTAATATAGTGTAAAGGGGTTATAGTTGGTATATAAAAATTAGAATTAGTTATACATTCGATATTTGAAGAATTAGATGGGAGTGAATATTATGGCAAAATAGTAGCTAATTAATTTAAAGCTATATTTTAGAAATTTGTGTTTGTTTTTATGTCGACATTTTAACATTAATTCATTCCTCAGATTCAATATTTGTTTTTGATTATTGTATTTTATTATTCTAATTTTATCTTCTAAAGTCACACCTATCTCTAAGACTATTTGGACTACGTGCGGTACTTATAATCTTCGAAACTGTCTGTGTGCTGAAACCATTCTTCTTCCATTCCCAAAATTTGTGGTTATGAGTACTTGTCATTGGATTAAAAGTGACTGATGCTGAAAGTTCACAAATTGCTGAACAATCTATAGTTGATTACTAGCAATCATGCAAGCACAATTAGTCCTTGTGCGTGCGTGTGTGGTCGTTTGTCTGTGTGTGCTTCTGTGTGTATGAGAGAGAGGGGGGAGTGAAGGAATGAGTGTTATAGCATCTGCTTATGAATCAAAGAGAGATAGAGAGAGGAAGAGATAATAGGGAGATGGGAGAGAGTGAAAACATCTCGGTATTAATCCTAGAAAGACACAGAGAGAGAGAGGGGGGAGAGAGAGAGTTGAGAGATGGATGAGAGAGAGAGGGGGAGAGTGAACAATATCTCGGTATGAATCGAAGATTGAATGAGAAAGATGAGAGTGATGGAAGAGAGTGAAAGAACATCTAGGTATAAATCCAAGAGGGGGAGAGAGAGAGAAAGAGAGAGAGAGAGAGAGAGAGAGAGACGCGAGAAAGTGAAAAAACAAATCGGTATGAATGGAAGATAGATAGATAGATAGATAGATAGTGTGAGATGGGAAAGAGTGAAGAAACATCTCAGTATCAATTGAAGAGACAGAGAAAGAGAGAGATGAGAAATAGGGAAAGTGATAAAGCATTTAAGTATTAATCCAAGAGAGAGAGAGAGAGAGAGAGAAAGTGAAAAAAAGTCGGCCGGTATGAATCCAAGAAAATGGGAGAGATGAGAGAGAGATGAGATAGTGATAGAGGGAGAGTGAAGATATCTCTCTATTAATTCAAGAGAGAGAGAGAGAGAGAGAGAGAGAGAGATAAGAGAGAATGAAAAAAAACTCTTTATGACTCCAGTAGATAGATAGATAGATAGATAGATGCGATTGAGATCCAAAAGAGAATGAAATGAGAGAGATAGAGTGGAGAGAATGATAAAACATCTAGGTATCAATCCAAGAGAGAGAGAGAGAGAGAGAGAGAGAGAGAGGGACGAGAGAGAGAGAGAATGAAAAGTATCTCGTTATGACTCCAAGAGATAGATAGATGATAGTGAGATAGGAGAGAGTGAAATAACAATTCGGAATCAATCCATGAGAGAGAAATATATATATATATATATATATATATATATATATATATATATATAGAGAGAGAGAGAGAGAGAGAGAGGGAGGGAGGGAGAGCATGGATAAAGAGAGAGAGGGATATGAGAGATGTATGAGAGAAAGTGAAAAAAAAACATCTGGGTATGAATCTTTTTTCTCCAAAGCATTCTCATTGAATGTCTTTTGTTTTGAAATTACTCAATTTTTCGTCTTTTACGAATGGTGTTCAGTAAATGAGTCTTTGCTAGATTATTTCATTTGCTGAAAGTGTAGAAAAGTTTTTCCTTGTTGTTGCATATTTTATGTCACAATCATTTATAATGACTAGAAAATTCTCATCTTGATGCTGAGAGAGTGCTTTTATTTATTCTACTTCTCCAATAAAGAATAAAAGAGAGAAAGAGGTAGAGAGAGAATAAATGACTAAGAGATAGAGAGAGAGTGTGTGTGTAGAGAGAAAGAGAGAGAAAGGGAGAGAGAGATGTGGCAGAGGAAAGAAATATATTCTTCACCTGTTGCATTGTTGAAGAATTCCATTTCAAAGTAATTGCCACCAAGCTGCCATTAATATATTGTTTCTTGTTTTTTTTTTTGTTTTCGCAGCAACTGACGAGAAATTATATATAAAAAGTGGAGATGGAGGTCAGCATCGAGTGGCGATAGCCTGTTTCATGCGGGAACCTCCAAACCGAAATCAGACTGTCGCCGCTCATTCTCCACTTCATATTACCACACGCTCTATCCCTGATATTGATCACTTCTACTCATAAATAAAGCATACTCTAATACCGTATCGCACGCACACACACAAAGACTTTTTTGTATGAATATTTTCGTCTACAGGCCTGAATATACGAGGAATCTAATTAGAGAAAAATATGTATTATCCAGTAGGAGACCTGCATCCACTGGACAGAGGAAACCTAAGATAGATCAGACATGCCTTAATCGACTCGGCTACAAAGGAGCTTTGCCGATTAACTAAAATCTAAACAATGCATTTAAACGAAATTCTTCTCGCCATAGATTCCTCGAAACTATATTTGTTCAGTTTCTTATCCAAACATAAATAAAGTAATTTTCTAAAGCTGTAATAGATTTTTATGTATTAATCCCACATATTTTTATCACTTTAAAAGTATATATATATATATATATATATATATATATATATATATGTGTGTGTGTGTGTGTGTGTGTGTTTGTGTGTATTTCGGCAGCAATCCTTCTATCATGCACATTTCATTGAATACAACAGACAAGGTGCTTTGATTTAGTTTTTATAAAATTTCTCATGCGATCTAATATTTTTTCTTTTCAGATTATAAATTATATAAAAATGGAATCCTCATTAATAAAAACAAAACAAAATCAACACTTAATAATATCAACAATGAACATGGACACAATATCTTGACCGTGTTTTGAAAAATGAAATATTTTATAAAACATACATACAATAAACTATTTCTTATTTAACATATTAAAATATTTAATCCTTGAAAATGGTTAAATGTATAGCCGAAAGCGCTCGTACAAAAAGAACATTCGGAGAGTTTTATATAATTTATCATCCGAAAAGAAAAAAAAATAGATCACATGGGAAATTGTATAAAATCTAAATACCTTGTCTGTCGTATTCAATGAAATGTGCATATATATATATATATATATATATATATATATATGATTCAGTAAATTACAGAGATCATGTCTGCTTATTTTAATATAATCCGTTCATACTCACGAATAACCTTCTCTTGTTTCCTCATTAGTTATTTCAATCTGCCTTTTCACAAGACCACGTTTAAATTGCCAGGTAATGTTGTTCTGGTGGACTGTTGGATATGATTTAAAATTTGGGTATTATAAGCATGTCTGATTAAGTAACGGTAGCAAAAGAAAGTTAACCATGAGTATGAACGGATTATGTTAAAAATAAGCAGACATAATGTACGTAGTTTGTTCAACTTTAGCAAACATAATGCACGTAATTTTTTCGAGTTACGAGATTTAGTAAATTGTGCGTTTTTAATTGGCCAGCATTTCCAACAAATAATCCAGACTGCTGCAGGATATGTGTTCTTATCATGTAGTAATGAGATAGATTGCTCACTAAAACCAAAGAGCATCTATGTATCATTTACCATGCAAAATGGTTTTGAATTCAACTGAATTTTTCTTGAAAGGTTGTCGATCAAAATTAGATAGCCCAGTCAACCCTGTTATTTTAACCAGTAGCTAATTATATTGATACGTGTCATGAGGTATACACTTGAATAACTATTGGGAGTATATATTTTTCGGATAATAAAAAATATGTCTTCTTCATTATGCCTTTTTAAAGGATTTCACCTCAAGCAAGGTGGGAGTGGAAATAGCACGCAAGGGTTTACAGAGAATGAGATCAAGTGTAAAGAGGAATGTTTGAGGAAAGGATATAGAGAAGGACGGGGATCAGGATCAAGGCATCAGAAAATGTCGCGTGACGTTGCATTTGAATATTTGATGATCATTAGCGAACAAGTAAGCGGAAGGGAGTTCCACTGTCGGGAAGTGAAAAAGAACAAGCTGTTGGAGTAGAAGAAGTGCTTACATCTAACTGTTTCGAAAGTGAAAGGGTGGGACCGAGAGGCCAACCTAGTAGCACGCTTAAATTCATGCAGTTGGGGTACCGGTGAAAGTAGTTGGTCAGAGCAGTTGCCATGAAAATATCTGTGGAAAAAATAGAGGGAAGCCACATCACATTTTGATATATATATATATATATATATATATATATATATATATATATATATATATATATATATATATATTAAGGCACACAGCAAAATATGAATCTGTAAATGACTTTTAAAAATGAAACGCAAAGTACAATGTTGCGAAAACCAAGATATCATTTTGTATAGCGTGTTTAAGTAATTCAATATATTTTTGGACTATCCATGGATGTAGTGCTGAGAAAGTCAGTTAAAAAAATGAATTCTGAACTATGCTTCTTCATTCAGATTTTGAGAGATGTGCCAGGTCGATAAAGATTTCATCAATCTCATTGAGTATTTGTTTAAGAGTCCAGTAAAATATTAAGTAATCATCTAATATCCAACGGTTATTATGAGGTACTTAAATTTTTTTCGGACGACTAAAATGAGATTCTGCTGTTATAATTTCACCATCAATCATTTGTCATCGTCGTTTGGTTAATAGATATGATGATGGTAAAAGAAGTCGCTGCCATAAAGGAAACGCATGACTTTTATTGACCCAACCGCTAGTGTCACGATGGATTGAAATTAAAAAAAAATTCTTAAAACGATTTTTCTTCTCAAGTCCACTGTTATCGTTTTTTCTAAAACTAATCGGAGTTTCCTTACAACTCTTTAGTTTAAGACATTATTTCCCCTTCTGCTTATATGTGATATCCACTCTTGTTGCTTTTAGAAAGCGTTGAAGTAATGTAGTTTTGATATTTGTTGAAGTTATCTGGACTTTGGTATCTTGTTCATGTGACGTAGGTTTTGGAATTTGGTTCAAGTAGTGTAGATTTAGGGAATTTGGTACAAATGATATGGTTTTTGATATTTGATTCAAGTTATGTTGATTTTGGTATTTGGTTCAAGTGATGTAGTTTTGATATTTAGTTGAAGTTATCTGGACTTTGATATCTTGTTCATGTGATATGGTTTTGACATTTGGTTCAAGTGGTGTAGATTTTGGTATTTGGTTCAAGTGATATTGTTTTGATATTTGGTTCAACTGGTGTAGATTTTGATATTTGGTTCAAGTGATATGGTTTTTGATATTTGGTTCAAGTTATGTTGATTTTGGTACTTGGTTCAAGTGATGTAGTTTTGAAAATGTTATCTGTGAATTTGTAAAGAGTCACTAATTTTCTTTGAAGTTATACAGACGAAAATGGGGGATTACCGTGTTGCAGGAGGTTGTTATTTCTTTCTGCGGTAGACCAGTTGACATCCAAGGCTATAAAACCAGGTCTGCCCTGCTACTTACCCATAGCTAAAGGGGAAAAGAAGAAGAGGGTTCAGAACTTTTTCGTAAGTGAACGTAATAGATTCGACTGAAATTCGAACTCGGCTCTCCGATTCCTCAATCGGAGCCGCTATCCATTATTCCAACGTGCCTCCATGTCTTCTTTAAATAACATGCAAATCTTTTTAAACCTCGGCCTAAGATTAATGAGCTGACTACTTATAAAATGTTATTATTCTGCTGTGAGATAATCATACTTCCATTTGTGATGGAATGTGTCCAATCTCATGGGGTTTTTTGTGCAGGCAGTTGTAATCAACCCCACAAAGCAAAACTAAACAAAGAAAGGAATGGATGGATGGCATTTGAAATTTGATATAATGAAAAGGAGACAAAAAACAATGGCAATGTATGGCACAGAATATAGAACACTGCACAAAGAAATTAGAAACAGATGCAGGCTGACTAAAGAAGCAACGAAATGTGTGCATAAATAGAAAGAATGTCTGATACATATAGAGTAAATATGCATCAAAATAAAAAAACTAACATAAAATACGACATGATCATCTACAGGATGTAAAAAAATCCATGGGCAGGACAATGATACTGGAAAAAGAAAAAAAAATCTTAAGATGGAACGAATGTATTCATAAACTCTTCCAAGATGATAGAGGACACCCCACATTACAAAGAAATATCGAAGGACCAGAACTAAAAAATTTGAAATGAAATCAGCACTGAGCAAATTGAACAGAAACAAAGCAGCAGGACCAGACGGAATTGTAATAGTGATGATGAAAGCCGTAGATGACAAGATTAATATATAATAAATGAAATAAACAGCATTGGTGAAATATCGGAAGACCTAATTAGATCTATTTTCATAGCAGCACCTGAGAATTCAGATGCAAACGAATGTGAGCCCCATACGATAATCAGCCTAATGAGTCATAAAACAAAACGATCCAAGTTCTGAAGAAGAGAACGCGTAGCGGAATCAGACCTGATATAGAAATGGAACAGTGTAGATTCATTAAAGACACAAGCAATGCGATCCTTCTGCCCAGGATTATATCAGAGAGAGCAATACAAATGCAAAAGGATATATACCGATGTTTTATAGTTTATTCAAAAGCTTTGATTTGGAGATGAATTACATCACAAAGAAGAGTTGAAACAGATTGTTAACCTTGACATATTCGGGAAGGATATTAAAATAGTCCAGAACTTGTACTGGGAGCAAACCGTCTGCATACGGATAGAAAATGAGTTCAGCAGATAAAGAAAAATAGAAAAGCCTGTAAATCTAGGGCGTACCTTCTCAACAGACTTATTCAAACTCTGAAAGAATTAGAAATTCTATCAGGTTTCGTTATTGGAGACTACAATCTTAGCAATATAAAATATACAGTTTTGATAGCAGACACAGCGAAAACTGCAAGAACATTTTCAGAAGGGATAAAAATCTAGAATTAAGAACAAGGCAGCAATGGCGATAAGACAAAATGCGAGATTGCCAGCAAAGGGA